TGAGCCACCCAAGCCCCAATATGAAAACATTTTTAAGATGTTAATACAGGCAGTAAATCACAAATGATACATGTGAGCAGCAATAACTTGTTTCCCCTTTTTTATATGTAATGACTGTAGTAATCAGTTTATTACACAGATTAATCATTCTTGAATGTACAAGCTCCTGAGGAGCAATTGGGTCTTTAAATATACACAAGTATTCCCATCAAATGAATTTTCACCCTTACATCCAAATAGACCTAAGCAGTTAAAAACATAAGAAAAATCAGAGCTATTAGCTATGTATTAACTGAGAAACCACATACAAACCAAAGAATATGGAAAGAAAGAGAGAGAGAGAAAGAGAAAGAGAGAGAGAGGGAGGATGAAAGGCTGAAAGGGTAGGGAAATGTAAAAGAGTTGGAAACAAAGCCCATTACACTTTTTGTACTAATAGCTCCAATCCATTTAAATGTTGACCAGTTAAACGTAGACCTTAGAATACAGGATGTGGGTAGTTTAATCTGGTTGGTCATAACTTTCACCTAAGTTGTAGGTCCTTTGAAGAAAATGAATACAGAAAAAACTTCATGTTCTTCCCCTAGCTGTTCATAATGGTTTTGATTTTAAATGGATTCCACTTAAAAACAATCTCCTACAGGCCAGTGGAGCTTTTTCCCCATCCAAGTACACACCATGTGCCCACCATCCCTCGCACCTTGCCGTTATCCAAATTTCTGCCAATAAGTAAAGTTTTTTGTCTCACACCTAGGTTACGCCTGGAAGATTGGCTTTTCACACACATACTTCTCTGCTAGGAGGCAATGTTGGTACAGAAGTACAGTATCTCTAGTTTGTTGTTCCAAGTATGTACAACACGCAGCACTGCTGTTTTATCAGGTAAACATGTGCACAGGGGAAGAGCAGTCAAATGGAAATCAAAAGGACTTTCTCTTTCAGAGTTCCCCTATCTTTATTTGTAGAGGTTATCCAATAATTTCTTTAATTACATCGCATACTTCTGAGTCCATTCCCGAGCTATTCTGTTGTACTTAGATTCTCTATCTGTTTTGTAGATTGGAGCAATCTCAGGCACTGAGGGATCATCTGGATTGGGATCACACAACAGAGAACAGATGGACGAAAGTACTTTTGAGATAGTTAGTGCTGGAGACCACTGTGACTGTAGAATATCAAGACAAATGCTCCCATTACTGTTAATATTTGGATGATAAATTCTTGTTGTAAATGCAACCTTAGGTGGTTTGAAGGGGAAATCTGTTGGGAACTGAATTGTCAAGAAAAATACTCCACCCTGATAGGGACTGTCATTTGGTCCCATTATTGTAGCTTGCCAATGAAACATGTCATCTCCAACAGGACCGGCTGAACATTGTGCTGGGGGATCCCGTGTCAGTTAATTCAATTCCTTGTGGATTCTCTTCAGAGCCATGGTGGGAGGCAGTAGCCCCCGGGGCTGGGACGGGTCCCGGAGGGACTGGGAAGGGACCAGGAGGCCTGAGGCCGCCTGGGCGGTCGCGGGTCGGCTGGAGAAAACGGGATGTGCGGGAGCGCGGGTCCGGCGGGACGGGATGAGGCCCGCTCAGCTTCTGGGGCTACCGCAGCGGATCCTCACTTTTTTTTTTTTTTTTAGCATCAAATCTGCTGTTTGGTGGGTAAAATGTCACCACTGGTTTTTTTTTCTTTG